TTTTTTTTTTTTTTTTTTTTTTTTTTTGGTACTGGAGATCAATGTTTCTGTATTCTTTATTCAGTCCCATTAATTCATATACCTATCCCTCTGGTAGTACCACACTGTGTCAATGACTGCAGTTATATAGTAACTTAATATTGGGTAGAGTATTTGCTTCTACCTTGTTTCAAGATTGTATTAGCTTTTAGGGCCTATACCTTTCCATGTAAATTTTAGAAACTTATCTGCCTACAAAAAATCTTGCTTGGGTTTTGATAAGAAATGTTTTAAACTGACAAGTCAATTTGGGGAGAAATAACATTTTTTACTATGTTGAGTCCTTAACACAAAGGCAATGTATCTCTCCATTTACATCTTCTTTCTTTCATCAGTATTTCATAATTTTTAGCACTAGTGAAGTTTATACCGAAGTAATTTACTTTGGAGTGACTATAAAATGTATTAAGTTTTTTTTTCATACTGGGGATTGGACTTGGGTCCTTGTGCTTTTGAGGCAGGCAGCAGCACCACTGAGCTAAATCCCTGGCCCAAGATTTTGCTTTGACTATAAAAGGTATTTAGTTTTCTACATAGTTAATGTAGAAATGCAACTGATTTGTGTGTGTTAATCTCATATCCGGCAACCTTACCAAACTCATGTATTAGTTTGAGGAATTTCTACGAAGACATTCATGTCATCTGAATAGCGACAGCTTTATTTCTTCTCTTCCAATCTGTAGATATTTCTTTTCCTAGACTCACTGCAGTGGCTGGAACTTTCAGTGAGATGTTGAATAGCAGTGGTGAGAATGGTTGTCTTTGACTTATTCTTGATTTCAAAAGGAAAGTGTTTAGTTTTTCTCCATAATTAGATGTCAGCTTCAAGTTGTTGTAGCTGTTCTTTATCAAGGTGAGACTATATGATTCTATCCCTAACTTGATAGTTTTTATCATAAATAGTTTTTATCAAGTTTTTATCATAAAAACTTGATAGTTTTATCATAAATAGGCCTTGGGTTTTTATCATAAATAGCCATCATAAATGGCTATTTGTGTCAAAAATAATCACATGGTGTTTATTCTATTTTTTTCTTTAGCTTGTTGATCCAAATAACTCCCTTACTAGGTATGTTCCAGAAAGAGTTAAAGACACATTACAGTGACACATGCATACCCATGTTCATAGCAGCATAACCTGTAATAACTAAATCTTGAAACAGCCTAGGTTATTTCACTTCATAATGGGCTCAAAGTCAGGCTCACTTTGACTTGTACTTCGTACACTTGGACCCAGATACACTCATCTCCCTACAAATGCCTCAAGTGAGTCTTTATGGAGAGTGGTACCTGTTGTGTGTAAATACCACATTTTCCTTATCTATTCATGTCATGGTGGACATATATAGGCTGCTTCTAAGGTTGAGCTACGGTGACTCACGCTGCTACAAACATGGGTGTGCATGTATCATTGTAATATGATGTCTAATCTGTAAGGAGAGGTGTTGCTGGGTCAAATGGAATTTCTACTTCTAGTTTTTTGAGGAATCTCCCTACTGATTTCTACAGTGGAGTATTAGTTTACATTCCCACCAACAATGCAAAAGGGTTCCTTTTGCGCTGTAGCCTTGCCAGCATTTATTATTTGATTTCTTGATGATGGCCATTTTTGCTTCCGTAACATGGAATCTCAGTGTTAATTTCTCTTAATGGCCAGCAATGTTCAGCATTTCTTCATAAATTTATTGGACATTTGTACTTACTATTCTGTGAAATGTCCATAGATTTTCAATGTTGAATTACTTTATTTGCCAATATTTGCCAGAGGATTTTTGTACTTCTAAGTTCATAAAAATTATTGATTTGTACCTGGGACTAAATTAAGTACCTCACATCTACTATGCAAGTATTCTATCAGTAAGCTTAATTTTCAGCCCTTCTTACATTTGATTTTATGTATAATTTCCTTGAGACAGGCTCTTACTGAGTAGTCCAGGCTGGCCTCAAACCTGTGTTAATCTTCCTGCCTCAGCCTTCCAAGTGCTGGGATTACAGAAGTATGCTACCATTCCCATCCATAAATTTTGAGATAGGGTCTCACTAAGTTGCCTAGGTTTGCTTTAAGCTTGCAATCTTCCTGCCTCAGTTTCCTGAGTTACTGGGATTACAAATATGCACCACTATGCATGGTTATATTATTATTATTTTTGTACTGTCTTTGCCTTGTTTGGTTATCAGGGTATATTGACCTTATAAATACATTTGAACTGGGGGGAACAGTTGTGGTGGGAGTCCTGTAGTACCAGGACTCTGAGAGGCTGAGACAGGAGGACTGCAAGTTTAAGACCAGATTGGGAAACTCAAACTTTTTTCCCCTCATTGAGTTTGTTGGTACATTCTAGGTATACAGTAAAGTTACATTCATCATTGGGATTTTGTACCTTTACATGACAGGTCTTGGTTCTCATTTTTTCCCCTTACCCTGAGGGAAATTCAAACTTAGCAAGACTGCTAAAATCAGAAACAAACACAAACAAAACAGAAAACAGGGCTGGATGTAGCCCAGAAGAAAGTTAGGTTCAATCCCCCTACTGTAAAAACAAACACAAAAGCAAAATAAGCAGCTGAAAAGTTTTCTAGTTTTTTGAAGAAACTGTAAAACTAGGATTAATTCTTTTTTCTGCCCTGGGTACCAGGACTCAAACTCCAGACCTTGTTACTTAGCAGGTAAGCACAGAGCCACTGAGCTAAATTCCCAGCCCAATTCCTCTTTTGAATTCTCGGGTAAAACCACCTGGGCTTGGAGATTTCTTTTTCAGAAACTTTCACTAAGTTACAAATTCAATTTATTTAATGTCTGCAGCACTATTCATATTATTTATTTTATCTTGGTTGAGTTCTATAGTTTTTGCTTTTGAGAAACTGTTCAATT